TTCATTCATTTCTAGATGTATCTCTGGATGTAACAAGTTAAGCCATGTTGTCAAAATTTCCCACTTTTTAATAGTGGAAAAACAAAAACAAAATGTATTTTCTCTCTCCAATATTTTCCAGGTTATTTTCAGTTGCAAATAGTATGTACCGATCTTGACTCTTGAAATTCTAGCACATGAATGTGCTCAAAATCACTGCTTATGGCAACTGTCCTAAATTATGCATGTAGCAAAATTCTGTGTGTTTACTTGGAAGTAAGTCCTGCAAGGAAATGGGAACTAATGTAGAGTATAAACATTCATTTGCCATTACACTGTTTTTCTTATCTGCATTTTTCATCACAGATGACTCGATCTGTAATACATTAAGGAAACAGCTATTTTATCTGCAGTGGAACTGGATGTTTATGTGTCTTTGCCCAAGGGCTTATGTGTCAATCATTAATAAACAGTTAGCTTCTTGATCCAACTTTCATTTTCCGTGTATGAGTTCTATGGAAGTTAAGACTGCAGGTAGATTTTAGTTATTTCAGATTTGAAACACACATATTTCCCAGTTTACCATTCAGATTGTTTATTTCTGTTTACAGGCAGTAACCTGTCCCCCACAAAAAGCTTGATATTTGCCTCTGGAGGTTTTCAAGCCGCTTCACTCTCCTTGTTTCCTTTCTAATTTAGGCAGAGGATTGCAACAGCTGCGTGTGTCATGTTTATTGTGAGCACTGCCCTAAGCAAACACTTCAGATGTTAGTGAAATGTGGCAAAGTGGGTGAAGTTGGGTTTCCCTGCAGCTCAAGCCCATCCCTTTTAGGGAGTGTTCTCTTAGAAACCTCTAACCTTGACTTTAGCTTCTGTCCTACATGAATACCTGCATCTTGGGCATATGGGCCAGCTATGTCTAATCTTATTTAAAAAAATATTTCCCCCCCAAACATAACATAAACAAAAGCAAATAAAAATAAAATAAATTGCCAGCTGACATTAACAACAACATTAGCAATATTCCATCCTAATTTAAACGTAATAGTGTAGGATTCACCTAATATGACCTGTCTCTTGGAAGCTCTGTGCAACAATATCTGCTTGTGAAATGGGGCCTTTTCATCCTGTGCACCCCCAAAATTGGCTCTCTTGGGGGTGTCAGGGAAACGCTTGAAGCCACAAATTAATATAGGCAGTCCATATCTAAATGATATCATGCTTATAAACCACTATTATAAGCTGTGTTCAAACAGAAAAGGCAGCGTGTGGGAATGTTCAGGGATGCAGGAGAGCATATATTGTTTGATTACAGTGGTACCTCGGGTTAAGAACTTAATTTGTTCTGGAGGTCTGTTCTTAACCTGAAACTGTTCTTAACCTGAAGCACCACTTTAGCTAATGGGGCCTCCTGCTGCTGCTGCGGCTGCGCCGCCGCCACAATTTCTGTTCTCATCCTGAAGCAAAGTTCTTAACCCGAGGTAATATTTCTGGGTTAGTGGAGTCTGTAACCTGAAGCGTATGTAACCTGAAGCATATGTAACCTGAGGTACCACTGTATATCCTTTCCAACTTGTGTTAACAAGTTCCACAGTTTAGCAGAGTAACACCCCCCTTTTTAAACTTACACAGCAGATACGTTTGCTCAGGCTCGCTAAAGCCTCTATAATAAGTTTTGTTGGTAATTCCCCATTTAGTCCCTCATAAAAAGACACGACACAGTCAGTAATAATAATAATAATAATAAATCTTTATTGTCATTGCCCCTTCTCGGGGACAACGAAATTACTTGGCTGCTCCATCCACCCAGGTAGGGCATAATTAATAATAATAATAATAGTAATAATAGTAATAATAATATATTTATACCCCGCCCATTTGGCTGGGTTTCCCCAGCCACTCTGGGCGGCTTCCAACAAAATGCTAAGATACAATAACCTATTAAACATTAAAAGCTTCCCTAAACAGGGCTGCCTTCAGATGTCTTCTAAAAGTTTGGTAGTTATTTTTCTCTTTGACATCTGGTGGGAGGGTGTTCCACAGGGTGGGTGCCACTACCGAGAAGGCCCTCTGCCTGGGTTCCCTGTAAGATGGCTTCTCGCAGTGAGGGAACTGCCAGAAGGCCCTCGGCGCTGGACCTCAGTGTCTGGGCAGAACAATGGGGGTGGAGACGCTCCTTCAGGTATACTGGGCTGAGGCCATTTATGGCTTTAAAGATCAGCACCAACACTTTGAATTATGCTCAGAAACGTACTGGGAGCCAATGTAGTTCTTTCAAGACCGGTGTTATATGGTCTCGGCGGCCGCTCCCAGTCACCAGTCTAGCTGCCGCATTCTGGATTAGTTGTAGTTTCTGGGTCCTCTTCAAAGGTAGCCCCACATAGAGCACATTGCAATAGTCCAAATGAGAGATAACTAGAGCATGCACCACTCTTTATAAAAGTATAAAAAAGAATTTACTCACACATTCTGTTCACAATTGGATCCCAGAAGGCAGACTTAGCTTAGAAAAGTAATATACTCCTGGAAACTATCCCATAAGGAAACAGTCCCTTTGTCCTCTCTTGGCTGGAAGAGAGGACATCTTAGGCTAAGCAGATGTTGATTCTTCGATGAATGTAGTCAGAGAGAGAGAGATGGCTGACCAGTCCTGCTCTTCTGTTACCTGGGCAGGTGAGGTCACACCCACCTCTAGTCACATGCAGAGGAAGTCTGTCCCAGACAGGAGAAACAGGAAGTTCTGATTGGCTGGTCCAGACATCCCCTTTTATCTCTGCTCTAGGGAAGTTGTACTTGAGTTGACTGCTCTTGAGTTTCACATCCCACACAGTGAGCTCTTAAGACCATTGAGTAGTAGATGGTGGGTGTTTGTCCTTCCAGCCTTGGAGTATATGTCTTATTGCCACCATAAGGGATGGCAGATGAACAACTTAAGATATAATTTAAGAGTGTATGAACATGATCTGTGTCTAATTTTTGGTGCACAAATTTGTATACAAGTTTTAACCTTATGCAATTAGCACGACATTTCGAGGAACTAGCCTTTATGGTGTCTTGAGATTGCTGCTATTTTTTGTCATCTTGTTATTTATTATTCAATCTTTTTAAATTGTATAAAATAAAATAAATAAAAATTGCAGGCATTTATCCAGAGGTTTTGGGTTTGTTTGTTTTTTTGCTGCTGCCATGCTCTTATTATTTTATGTCATTTATTTAATATTTGTATATGTGTAAGCTGTTTCATACATTTTTTAAAAAATAATTTTATTGAATGGTTTTATGTTACAAAAAACAATACAGCCATACTACCACTAAATATAATTAAGAAATAAAAAAATACATACATTGATATTTAGTTTGTTATTTGTTATTTACCATCTTATTTCCTCCCAAACATTGCATACAACAACACACATATGTGCAGTTACAGATAGGTAGCCGTGTTGGTCTGCCATAGTCAAAACAAAAAAAAATTCCTTCCAGTAGCACCTTAAAGACCAACTAAGTGTGCATGCATACACCTTTCAGGTGTATCTGAAGAAGTGTGCATGCACACGAAAGCTCATACCAAGAACTAACTTAGTTGGTCTTTAAGGTGCTACTGGAAGGATTTTTTGTTTTGTTTTACACATATGTGCAGACACCCACACACCCACACCCGCACAGAAAATGATAATAATGAAAGTAAATATTTTCCCCCTTTTATCTTCCAAAATCTTTGCTTCAACTTTGACTTCTTCTCAAGTCCCTTTGCATATGTTTTATCTTACATTCAAATGTACACAAAACAATAAACCTTTCTATATAATTTTTCTGAAAACATAATAATTCCTTAATTGTAGTCCACCTCCTTTATCACTCGAATGCTAGTGTAGCCTTATGAGGCTTTGCCCTCGGGTGGGAAAAATACTGCGCCTGGGAAAGGGAAGTGGGAGTCAACAGACACTCAAGGAATAGTTTCGGAGAAAAGGCTTTTTATTTCTACCATCCATGAACTGGTAGAAGGAGCAAGTGTGATAAGTCACAAAAAGCATGCACGAAGTTCACAGTCATGTGCACAAACATATATACCCCTTTCCAGTTCCCTCCTCCTTTCTCCTCCCTCAGGAGTCCTGCCCCATGTTGAGGTTCCTGAGCATGTACAGAAAGCTGTCTTGGAACTATTGTGGACTCTTGGCAGGAAAGGGGGTGAGGGGGTTTCAGTGTGTTCCAGTTGTTTCATTCTTGTGCTTTGGCATGGTTCCCGGACAGAAAGCAAGTTGCAATGTGGTTCTTTAGCAAGGCCAGAAGGCATGAGAAAGGCCTGAAAAACAATGGACTGTTCTCTACCTTTGTTACAGCAGAGCGGAATGTTTCTGATGCTTAGCTGCTGAGAAAATGATTTTGAAAAGCTTTGAGAAGCTTTGGTGGGGGTGACTTCGGGCCTAGGTGGGGTCACCTGTCCTCACCTTCCTTCACTAGCACGGAGTCAAAACTATTATTGTATTTTTGAACATATTTTTTATAAACATCCCATTTTCCCGCTAATTTCTGCTTTGAGTTTCCTCTGAGTTCCTAGTCAGTTGAGCTGTCTCCACCAATTCCTGTAATTTGATTTGCCAATCTGTTCTTTTTGGAGCCTCGTCATCTTTCCATCCCTTGGCCCCAAGTAGACGAGCCACTGCGGTTGCATACAAAAATACCTCTCTTAGATTTTTTGGGATCTCTTTATCTAAAATACTTAATAGAAATGCCTCTGGTTTTTTAGTAAAAGTTATCCCCATCATCTTTTTTAATTCATCGTATATTCCCCCCCCAAAATAGCTTCATACATGTTTTGGAGAGATGGTGTAAAATGCCATTAAATAAATAAGAAAGCAAATAAATAAATAAATATCAGAAGCCTATGCTGTATTTGTAGAATTTAAACCAGTTTTCTTATAAACCTTGAGCAGAGGATAAGGAGGTTCAACTGTCAGATAAGAAATTAACAAACATTTTCTTTTATTCACATTTTTCTTTTCTTCCTTCTGTTTTCTCAGGCCTTGCTCCTGAGGCCAACATGCTAGCAGGGGCCCTGAAGAAGATCCCAATTCTTCACGATGCAGCATATGCCGAGGAAACTAATCTGTATTCCCGCCTTCACCTTGGAGATGACACCTTGGTGCTTCCGTATGTATTAGGGAAAGAAGAGTTTCCTTAGAATTCTGAATCTTCCTGTGTAGTAGCATGTGCTTTTAGCTTTTTACTTGATTGTTAGGGCCTTGTATAAGCCGCTGCACAGAAGTAGCATAGGATGTGACATGCGTCAGAAATCAGATTCCTGAACACCTCAGATTTCATTTCTTTTCAAGGCAAATTTCAAACCTTCATGGTTGCAGATACATTTGAAACTGTTTGGGTGATGAAATCTAAGAAGCCAGTGGGTTGACTGAGGCGCATCCACACTTTTACTTGGTCCATATTTTGATTGTACTGTGTACTGATTAATCCTCCTGGATCCGAGAGCTTTTCTCATTAATCTGCAGCTTTGGCTTGCAAAAATCCGATCTTACTCGCTGCATTGGATCATATCAGGCACTCAGAAAATTCAAAGAAAGTTTGCTAACCAACCTTCAGTTCAGCAGGTAACTTTCTCTAACGGACAGCAGATTTGATGTTCATTAGAGAAGTACCTTGGGAATATGATTATCTTTTTTATAACAGCATACCTCTGAGAGGAGTAGTAATGAATACAATTACAGTGGTACCTCGGGTTAAGTACTTAATTCATTCCGGAGGTCCGTTCTTAACCTGAAACTGTTCTTAATCTGAAGCACCACTTTAGCTAATGGGGCCTCCTGCTACCGCTGCGCCGCCAGAGCACAATTTTTGTTCTCATCCTGAAGCAAAGTTCTTAACCCAAGGTAATATTTCTGGGTTAGCGGAATCTCTAACCTGAAGCGTATGTAACCTGAGGTACCTCTGTATTTACAAAAAAAGAAGAAAAAAGTGTTTGGCAGATTGTGTTAGAAGAGGTATTCCTTTTTCTGTCTTACTCATGAAGGAATACTTTTTCTAAGATAGTACCTGCTGTATTGTGTGTATATCATCTTGAACAAAGGTTACTTTTGGTTTTAGAACTCTTTTTTTTTACATGCATAAGAACAAAAGAAGGTCCATGTAACTGGATGCAGATTTAATTGTCCAATATTTCAACTGGCTAAGATTTCTTCAATAGAATAGCAGATGAGATAGGAAGAGAAGTTTATGAAGTTCAATTTGTGTCACAGAGTGAACTTCCTCAGATAGCAACAATATCCCCTTGTAGGCTTTCTTACCATGCACAGCCCAATGTTCAGGTTTCCAGTGGAAAAGGGGCTGCAACTAAAATAGTTCATTTCATAAAAAGTTTTTTTTTCCTTTGACAGCATTTCCAGACAAAATAAAAGAATTATCTACACCATCCTGGAACTTTCTCCACTGCTTGATTCTTCAAACATGACTCCAGCTGAATGGGACAAGATTGGCAGTCTCCTGGAGGTATTTTGGATTAATCTTGTAATGCTGTTGGTCACAGAAAAAATATTGAGCCATAGCCAACTAAATAAATTTTGTGAGCAGAACAACTTTCGCTTTCATAACGGGTCTTCTCCCCTCCCCTCCCCTCCCCTCCCCTCCTCCGGGTTCATCCCACATTATCTCCAGATCTGATCCGAAGGGTTGGGAGAACCCTCAGAACATATCTAGGGGAGCACATGGGGAGAGTGGGAGGGGAGTCACATGCCATACGCAGAAGTCCTCATGTAGGGAGTTAAAGGTAAAGGTAAAGGTACCCCTGCCCATACGGGCCAGTCTTGACAGACTCTAGGGTTGTGCGCCCAACTCACTTAAGAGGCCGGGAGCCAGTGCTGTCCGGAGACACTTCCGGGTCACGTGGCCAGCGTGACAAAGCCGCATCTGGTGAGCCAGCTCCAGCGCAGCACACGGAAACGCCGTTTACCCTCCCGCCAGTAAGCGGTCCCTATTTATCTACTTGCACCCGGAGGTGCTTTCGAACTGCTAGGTTGGCAGGCGCTAAGCAACGGGAGCGCACCCCGCTGCGGGGATTCGAATCGCCGACCTTTAGATCGGCAAGCCCTAGGCGCTGAGGCTTTTACCCACAGCGCCACTCATGTAGGGAGTTACTTAGCACTATTTGGAAACAACCATTGTCTTTCACATTGTGATCCCAACAGCCTAGAATAGTTTACATGCTGACAAAAAGAAACCACTTTCAGTATCCATTGGGTAACTGGCAGGATGTTTCAACACATGCTGTTCTTTACCAATCTTCATCGCTGACCAGCAAATGAAGCACATGAATAGTTTTTTTTTAATATTCACAATAACATGCTGTTTCCATTTCACCCCTCTTTAAAAATGCAGTGGTACCTCGGGTTACATACGCTTCAGGTTACAGACTCCGCTAACCCAGAAATAGTGCTTCAGGTTAAGATCTTTGCTTCAGGATGAGAACAGAAATTGTGCTCCGGCGGCGCGGCAGCAGCAGGAGGCCCCATTAGCTAAAGTGGTGCTTCAGGTTAAGAACAGTTTCAGGTTAAGTATGGACCTCCGGAACAAATTAAGTACTTAACCCGAGGTACCACTTTACATGCATACCTTTAAAGCTTATTGCAACATAAGATTTGCTCCTCAAGGGATGGCTTTCTGAAGCAATGTCATGACCACGTTGCTAGAGCAACAGCAAAAGTCCCTACATAATCCAGAGTTTTGGTTCTACCCAAAGTTTCCAGGATTAATCTGTAAACAGGATCTAACTGGAATCTAGGATCCTGCTCACAGGATTGTCCATGGAAAAGTCTGATGTAACTTTAATGCAATCAGTTTTCTTTTGCATAGTTCTGGTTTGTGTTTATTGCAACACATCACCGTTCTTTATCTTGCCATTTCAACTTCCAGTTAAAATCCGATTGACCACAAGGTGGAGGCATAATGCAGCTTTGAGCACTGCAAGGTTTATTGCATGGTAATGCCAGTTAGACTTTTCTGGAGCACAAAACATTTTGGCCTTGAGTTATTGAGGAACATAATTGATTTTTTTAAGCACTTCAGTGGGATGAGAAATGGAGGACTCATAGCTCATTGGTAAAGCACAGGCTTCCCATGCATAAAGTCTAGGGTTCAGTTCCTGACATCTCTAATCAAAGGACCTGTAGCAGCAAGACAGCTTTATGCTGAAGACCTTCAAGAGTTGCTATCTGAAGAAGTGTGCATGCACACGAAAGCTCATACCAAGAACTAACTTAGTTGGTCTTTAAGGTGCTACTGGAAGGAATTTTTGTTTTGTTTTGTTTTGACTATGGCAGACCAACACGGCTACCTATCTGTAACGAGTTGCTGTTTGTTAGAGTAGACAGTATTGGGTGAGATGCATCTAGTGGTCTGACTCAATGGTATATGGCAGCTCTCTATATACAGAAGTATTGACTTGCATTGCATTTTTGTGATTATGCCTAAAAGCTCTGCGATGAGTGGGCAGTTCTGGGCTAGATAAGCCATGTACCTGACTAGGTATAAGGCAACTTCATATATTCTTCATAAGTCTGGGGGAAACTGCCCTGGAATTTTCAATCTGCTAAATCGGGGAAAGTGAACATGATGTCTTCCAGATATTACTGCACCACAACTGTCCTCCGCCCTAGCAAGCATAGCTTATGGTCAGGGACAATGGTCACGAATGATGAGAGCTGTAGTGCAGTACCATCTGGACGGCATTACGTTTGCTGTTACATTAACAGAGGACTTTCAAATAAACTGCACCCAAAGTCTATACATTTCATAATAATAATAATAATAATAATAATAATAATAATAATAATTTATTATTTGTACCCCACCCATCTGGCTGGGTTTCCCCAGCCACTCTGGGCAGCTTCCACAGAGACCAAAAATACACTAAAATGTCACACATTAAAAACCTCCCTGAACAGGGCTGCCTTAAGATGTCTTCTGAATGTCAGGTACTTGTTTATCTCTTTGACATCTGAAGGGAGGGCGTTCCACAGGACGGACGCCACTACCGAGAAGGCCCTCTGTCTGGTTCCCTGTAACCTCACTTCTCGCAATGAGGGAACCGCCAGAAGGCCCTCAGCGCTGGATCTCAGTGTCTGGGCTGAATGATGGGGGTGGAGACGCTCCTTCAGGTATACAGGACTGAGGCTGTTTATATAAGAATGAATATACAGTGGTACCTCGGTTTATGAACTTAATCCATTCCGGAAGTCTGTTTTTAAACCAAAACCGCTCTTAAACCGAGGCGCACTTTCCCTAATGAGGCCTCCTGCCACTGGAGCCCTTCTGCTTTTTGGATTCTGTTCTTAGGTAAAGGTAAAGGGACCCCTGACCATTAGGTCCAGTCGTGGCTGACTCTGGGGTTGCGGCGCTCATCTCGCTTTATTGGCTGAGGGAGCCGGCGTGCAGCTTCCGGGTCATGTGGCCAGCATGACTAAGCCACTTCTGGCGAACCAGAGCAGTGCACGGAAATGCCATTTACCTTCCCGCCAGAGCGGTACCTATTTATCTACTTGCACTTTGACGTGCTTTTGAACTGCTAGGTTGGCAGGAGCAGGGACCGAGCAACGGGAGCTCACTCCGTCACGGGGATTCCAACCGCCGACCTTCTGATCGGCAAGCCCTAGGCTCTGTGGTTTAACCCACAGCGCCACCCGCCACCCGCCAAACCATATATATATATATAAATATTTAAAAAATTGTCCAGTAGCACCTTAGAGACCAACTAAGTTTGGGTATAAGCTTTCGTGTGCATACACACTTCTTCAGATACACTGAAACAGAAGTCACCAGACCCTTATATATACTGTAGTGGGAGGGTGGGGTTTTTCTCAGGAGGGTAGTAGGCGATGGGTGATTGACTAAATGAGTATGGTAAACCTGTTGAGGACTGTTAACGACTGCAATTAGTCCTAAGGAAAAAGCAAGGGATAGTATGCAGATTATTAGCATATGTAATGAGACAGGAATCCAATATCTCTATTAAGACCAGGTCTCTCCATAGTTTTCAGTTTAGTGATAAGTTGTAATTCAACAACTTTTCTTTCAAGTCTATTTCTGAAATTCTTTTGTAATAAGACAGCTGCTTTGAGGTCCTGTATTGAATGTCCTGGGAGGTGGAAGTGATCTCCTACTGGCTTCTCTGTCTTGCGATTCCTGATGTCAGATTTATGACCATTCTCAAACCAAGACACTATTTCCGCTTTTGTGGAGTTGTAAACCAAATCATTCTTACACCGGACTTTTCTTAAACTGAGGTACCACTGTATACAGCTCCTTGCCATCTTTTGGACAGAAGAGGGCAGCCTTACATTAGTGATTTGCCTCTCTTGAGACTGGATGCTGGGGCTTCCTTCTCATATGTACTATTACAATGGCCCCAGTTTGCTTAATCTGTTCCCGTAAATGGTATAATCCCCAACTAAAAGAGGCGACAAAGAAATCAGACCATATGACTCATTTGCATATGTTAACATTCCTGTTTTAAAGCAACTGCTAAGCTTTTCTTAATTAGCAGTCTTCCTCTGGTTAAGGACACATCATTAATATGTATACACTGAAGAACAGGTCTTTGAATTTTCTCATAATTAGCTACTGAAAGAACTTCATTTTCTGTTGGCTGTATTCTTTAACAATTAATTATGTTCAAGTCAGAGCTTCTCTGGAAGGAAACATTCAAATGCGAGATAGGAATAAACAAATAAATATGGCTCCATTGGTACAGTATTTTGTTTTGTTTTGTTTGTTGTTAGGCACAGAGTCTGCCTCCTCGGTAATATAAGACAGTGTGGTGTAGTGCTTACCGGTAGATTGTTGGACTAGGACCTGTGAGACCATGAAGTTCACTGGGTAACCTTGGGCCAGTCACTGTCTCCCAACCTAACCTACCTTGCAAGGTTGTTGTGAGAATGAAATGGGGAGGACAGAATTACGGGTGGGATTCTACTAATGAGTCCCAGCAGTGGAACCCCAGCACAAGGCATTCTGCTTGAGCAATGGGATTTCTTTCTACCCTGTGCTTCCAGAAATTGGCTCAGGAGGGGTCCAAGATAACCCCCAAAACAGCATGTGGAGGGAAGAGAGGGGTGATTGTTCCATCTGGCAAACAGAAATGCTTGCCCTGATGGAACAGATTAGCTTAGTGCAATGTTGAATCCCTCCCTAGGCACGTCACCTTGAGTATCTCTGAGGAGAGGTGGTATATATACATAAATCTTAATAAGTCTGGTTTGTTCTTCTGGCTAAATGTACACTTAGAAAAAACAAACCAGAATTGTCTCACAATGGCAGTGTTTGTATGTCACAACAAACCATGGTTTATCATGATGAGAGGAAATTTATTTTTATACCACCTTTAAAGGTGATTATTTTTATACCACCTTTAAAGGGACGCGGGTGGCGCTGTGGGTAAAACCTCAGTGCCTAGGACTTGCCGATCGAATCCCCATGGCGGGGTGAGCTCCCTTCTTTCGGTCCCAGCTCCTGCCCACCTAGCAGTTCGAAAGCACCCCTAAGTGCAAGTAGATAAATAGATACCGCTTTATAGCGGGAAGGTAAACAGCGTTTCCGTGTGCTGCGCTGGTGCTGGCTCGCCAGAGCAGCTTCGTCACGCTGGCCATGTGACCCGGAAGTGTCTTCGGACAGCGCTGGCTCCCGGCCTCTTAAGTGAGATGAGCGCACAACCCTAGAGTCGGACACAACTGGCCCGTACGGGCAGGGGTACCTTTACCTTTTTAAAGGTGGTTTACAAAACATTTCATGTGCCCACACACATATACCATGTACGAGACAAGGTTATTTTATTTAAAAATTATGTTAAAAAATGGGGGTCGTCTTATACACGGATAGTGCATGGGGGGGAGTGGGATTGGTTGCTGCCGCGAGCCAACGGTCAGCGGCTATTGTGCGTGTTATTGGTGGCTGCGGCAAGGGCTGGTGTTGATTGGCTTTCGCTGCGGCAACTGGGCGGGCGATTGGCGAGGGGACAGATGATAGGTGAGGGGAGAGACGATAGGTGGCTTTTGCTATGCGTGTGAGTGGCAGAGTGGTAGGTTAGGCAGATCAGCGTTTTTTGGCAATCCCCCCTAAAAAAAGCTGAGCAACTCTGGCCAATCTCGCCCCATTTTCTTAATTTGGAGTCCCCAAAAATAGGGGGCGTCTTATACACGGGGGCATCTGATACACAGAAAAATACAGTATATACACTTATACAATAATATTAAAACAGCTTTCCAAATAAAAATTAAAATGTAAGTAATAGTTGTTCCCCCTCCCTCCGCTGTATGTTGCTTCAATATTTGAATGCTGGCACCCAGAATGCATTTGGTCATTTGAAAATTATTTAACAGCATGTTAGAGGAAAATAGTATTATACTAAAAAATCAACTTATTTGGTGTAGTTTCTTCCCTTTTAAAAATTCACGTTGTTGTACTCTCCCCAGACTATCATTCCTGCCCGTTTTTAAAATTTATCTTCTTAATGTGAGAAATTTGTTCTCTATCAACAGATATACTATGAAAAGTATGATGGCTTTGTGATCCTTCACGGCACAGACACAATGGCCTATACAGCCTCAGCATTGTCTTTCATGTGTGAGAACCTGGGTAAAACCATTGTTCTGACGGGATCTCAGGTAAGCTGCTTCCTTGAAAACTGAGCAGGGTGGGCTCTGTCTTGTGTGAAAGTTAAGCTGACATGTACAAGGTGGGTGTCTCATTTTACACATAGCAGCCTTGGGAGGTATGTGCTTAATGTGTCTTATTTCACAGATAGGGGACACAAGGCTGTTCCACTGGGGGAAATGGGTCACAGCCCCACCAACCTTATTATGCCCTCAGTCAGCCCCCACCTGCCTGCCTCCTTCCCTACAACCTGTCCAGGGCACTGGCTGTCAGCTTCCTCTTCCAGGGTCTCAGTGTTGCCTTTGTAGAACACAGAGGAGGATGGGGAGAAAACTGGAATTAGTTAGGTTAGCCAGTCATTAGGACTGGCTCCAGGTCCACTGGACATAATCCACCGCTGTCCTACCCTAAAACCACTAGGGTCTGGAGTGTCTGGAGGTGGTTGGAGGATGGATGGCAGCTAACAGATTGAGGTTTAATCCTGACAAGACAGAAGTACTGTTTTGGGGGGACAGGAGACGGGCAGGTGTGGAGGACTCCCTGGTCCTGAATGGGGTAACTGTGCCCCTGAAGGACCAGGTGCGCAGCCTGGGAGTCATTCTGGACTCACAGCTGTCCATGGAGGCGCAGGTCAATTCTGTGTCCAGGGCAGCTGTTTACCAGCTCCATCTGGTACGCAGGCTGAGACCCTACCTGCCCGCAGACTGTCTCGCCAGAGTGGTGCATGCTTTAGTTATTTCTCGCATGGACTACTGCAATGCGCTCTATGTGGGGTTACCTTTGAAGGTGACCCGGAAACTACAACTAATCCAGAAAGCAGCAGCTAGACTGGGAGCGGCCGCCGAGACCATATAACACCGGTCTTGAAAGAACTACAGTGGCTCCCAGTACGTTTCCGAGCACAATTCAAAGTGTTGGTGTTGACCTTTAAAGCCCTAAACAGCCTCAGTCCAGTATACCTGAAGGAGCGTCTCCACCTCCATCATTCTGCCCGGACACTGAGGTCCAGCACCGAGGGCCTTCTGGCGGTTCCCTCACTGCGAGAAGCCAAGTTACAGGGAACCAGGCAGAGGGCCTTCTTCGTAGTGGCACCCGCCCTGTGGAACGCCCTCCCACCAGATGTCAAAGAGAAAAATAACTACCAAACTTTTAGAAGACATCGGAAGGCAGCCCTGTTTAGGGAAGCTTTTAATGTTTAATAGGTTATTGTATTTTAGTGTTTTATTGGAAGCCACCCAGAGTGGCTGGGGAAACCCAGCCAGATGGGCGGGGTATAAATAAATTATTATTATTATTATTATTATTATTATTATTATTATTATTATTATTATTATCATCATCACTATTTAGTAGCCTTGCTTTGGGGGGTGGGGGAAGAGAAATACAGTATAGATAGCAAGCGTCTTTCCTTCAGTGGGGCTAATAGCAGTTTTGGAGGGGGTGATTTTGGGTGGGGAAATGGGGTGTTGAAGGGAACAATTAGGCTCCTCTTACATCAGCATTAGTGGCGTGGTGACATTAGCAGTCTACTGTGCATGTTTTGAAGTACAGTAAAGGCCGGGGGGGGGGGAACCAAAGCAAAGGAAGGTCTGATTATAGATCTCTCTTGCCACTGGCAGTTTTGCCCTTAGTCACCTGCCAAAGGAGAATCCACGGTTGTCCCAGGATAATGGGCTGCCGGTGAACCAGCCCCATCGGGCAGCTGGCTGCCACATTTTGCACTAACTGAGGTTTCCAAATAATATGCAAGGCCGTAGGTTGTCTACTGGGGGAGGGAGGGTGTGTCGTAATTGGCAAGTGATATTTCTTCCAGGTTGAAATCTCCACTCTCTCCCTCCTCTCCCTGCCAGCATAAAGAATATGCAAAATTAAAGGATAACTTTATGAGGGTTGGGGAGAATATATTTTAAATTCAACTGGAGAAATTCTACCATCTGCCATAGTTTAGAATGATGGAGAAATACGTCCACATTCCAATAAATCATCTGATAAGAGAACGTTGCATTAATTATTCATGGATTTACACTTGCTTGTATTACATATCCGGAGTCTCCTCCAACCCCCTATCTTGTTGCTGCCGCTGTGTGTGTTTTCAACAGCAATCATTTCTTATTCTCTCTCTTTCTTTCTAGGTACCCATATACGAACTGAGAAATGACGGTAGAGCCAATCTGCTGGGGTCACTGCTCTTTGCTGGACAATTTGTAATCCCTGAGGTCCGGTCACCTTCTTGCTGCTAGCCTTACCTCTGCTTGTCCTGCATGCCTCTCTATCCTTGATGATTATCAGCCCAGTCCTTTCACTGACATTTCAGATTTTGCAGAAATTCAGATATTGCAGTCAGTGTACAAACTGAAAGAGAAGTGTAATTTTCAGTTTATCTTCTTGATAGGGGAACTTTATAAAACAACAACAAATGGTATTTGAGGTTATAAAATCATACATTCCCAAACATAAAATAACACCTCCTTTAATTTAGGATACTAAAGATAGGGTTGTGGTTTTTTTGCACAACCCAGAAGGTCCCTATTATAGTAATACATTCTCCTCTTTACATATTCTGTTTTGTACATATACCATTCCATTAACTTGAAATTAGCAGGTGCCCAACTGATTTTTAAAAAATGATTATATACCTCGCAATTATTTTTAAAAAGGAAATAGCATCCCATTTCGATTTGACATCAGTTATTAAAGAAATATTGCTTACTAATTCCCCCCTAAAAAACATTAGTAATATAGAGCACCACCATCACAGAAGCATAAAATCAGCAGCAACCAACTTGATATAGGAAAGTGTTGCTTAGGGGAAAGTGCTTTTTCATTGGAGTGTGTGTGTGCTATGCTGGATGCCCCCAGTGGTACAAACTGCAAGGGGGCCTATGCTCCTGTCTGCCTCTCTAGAAATAATACGTGCTTTCCCAATCATTCTAAAGCTTCCGAAGCTATTTATATACCCACAGTGTACTCAAGAGCAGCGCACGTCTTATGGTAAGAGTCCCTTTCAACCCTCACTTTTTAACATCCTAGTCACTGGGTCTCAACTTGAGAGGTTCTTGGCAAACCGTGAGAGCTGCCAAACCTGCTCTTGGATGGAAATGCCACAAGCTGTTAGCTTATATTTAGTTCCAATAGTCTGAAACCCCAAACACTTAAGTGACAAGAGGTGGCACTTTTTGAAAGCACAAGAGATATAAACCTCTCCTACATAATTTTCATTGTATTTATAACTCTCTCCTAAGTCATTCTCATTATATTTAAAGAAAGAGTCAGGCATTAAAAAAATAAATCTGTTGGATCTTTTAATTACAAGGTTTGTACACTGACATGTTCCTTTTCTCGTCCTTGTAGGTGTGCCTGTACTTTCATAATAAACTGTACAGGGGAAACCGGGTTACTAAGGTGGATGCAGAGAGCTTCAATGCCTTTTCCTCACCTAACCTGCCTTCACTTGCAACTGCTGAGGTGGATATTATAAGTAAGCCATGCTGTGATTTCAGTCCTTCCAGCTGTATAATTATCCCATCTGTAACCCTTTCCTGACCTGTTGCAGTACTAGGTCAAGACGTTTAAGCATCTTTATACATGCGGCCATTTTTGTTCATGGACTCTGGCCGCACCATTGCTTGTATACTTTAATGATAGGTTCCATACCACTTCTTCTTTGGATACTATCACACAAAATCATGTGGAGTCATGTTGCTGTTTTTCTGGATCAGCTTGATTCTGGCCAGCTTTATTTCTGAGGATTTTAGCTTTATTTTTTAAAACCTAAAGCGTTTGACAACTTGGAACCAATTTACCCAAGGGACTGCCATGCCCCATATATCTCTACCTGGCACCTGTGCTGCTCAGATGCTGAAAATAATACATGCTCTATAGGTGCACTTAGTTTGTACTAGAAACCAGGGTTTTGGTGATGCAGCTCCAGCCCTCTGGAACAATTACCAGCTGAAATTAAGCAGGACTCCAGCCCTGTGATGTTTAGGTGCCTACTGAAGACGTTTTTGTTTAAGAAGACTTTCCCTGAGGTTTCCCCTACATCTATATAAATTGTTTTATTGTTTTTAGACTTTGTAGGAATGGTTTTATTTTAATTTTAGGATTTCTATGTTTTGAATTTTATTGAATTTTTAACATGCACATTGCTTTGATGACTTCAGGCTGATACATGGTATACAAATTTGTGTGACGAATGAATGAATGAATGTTAAAAAAGAAAACAAGTTTTTAGCCCTCAAACTCTCTGGAGTGGGCTTAGGGGGTAGCATTTTATTTGTATCTCTTTGTTACTACCCTTTTTATTTCTCCTCTCTGTTATCCACACTTCTTTACTGCCACACAATTCTGACTTCTGCAAAACTGTCAATATTTAATAAAAAAAAAACAGATTTCAAATTCAGGCTTAAAATATGGCATTTGAGCTCACTTAGTCAAAATAAGTAAATTTGAATAATAATTAGGGTGGGTGTGGGGTAGGTTATTACAAGCTCTATTTCTGTTGGAACTGAATTTAGTCAGGGATTAGTGCAAAGAATGAATGGCCCTAGATAGAAAATTGCTGCCCCAGGTGACAAGGTAAATGTTGTTTCAGGAGAAGTTATCAAGCACAAATACTTTTGTGCTGTGATCCTCCTGGGAGAGTTGTTGCTGAACTAGGCATGCTACATACATACACTTGTTTCCAAAAGTCTAACTTTCTGTTCCCACAGTCAGTCTAGGATGGCAGGTGCCAGACAGACAGATAGGTGAGGGTGGTGCTGTTTCACTTCCAGCAATTATAAGATGAAGAGGAAGTGGAGATGTACAATGAGGCCAGTATTGCAGACTGTGAAGACTGCTGGGTAAAAACAAATAGGAATATGTTGTTGGAATTTATGGAGGCGAGTTCTGCTCAGTCTGTCAACGTCTGGCTGAATGATGGGTAAGGGCTGTAGCTCAGTGCTAGGGTATCTGCTTTCCATGCAGAAGGTCCCATGTTAAATCCCAGGTGCAACTGGGAGAGAGCCTAGCTGCAAACCCTGGGGAGCTGCTGCCAGTCAGTGTAGAATTCTGCCTTACAGTTAGTGGAACTGCTTGATCTGCATCATTTGTGACAGAGCTCAGCCTCCACTGAGCAGACTAGTACTGGGTTGCATCACATTCGTGCAAGGCCTTCTTCTGGAAAATGGATTTTCCTTCCTTTTTCCTGCACTCCCCTCCAAATCTGCTCTAGAGGGTTGGGGGAATGCCCAGAACAGATTTCTGGTTTTTTTTTGGGGGGGGGGAAGCACAAGAGGAGAAGAGGGAAGGGAAGTTCCAGTGCATAAGCAGAAATCTTTGCATGGATGCAACGTTTTGTTGGATACAACCCACTATATTTAAATGTTATTTTGATTCATAATATATGAGTGGCTTTTCTTTAAAATTGGACTCTTGCAGAATTCTTTACTGCCTTCATGGAATTAATCCTCACTCTGTACGACTGGCCACTGGGAGGGTCTATAACTCAGTGAAAGGCCACATGTTTCACATGCAGAAGGTCACAAGTTTAGTCCCTGCTATCTTCAGTTGAAAGGATCAGGGAGCAAGGTGCATGAAAGGCCCTTGCTTAAGAACTGACTGGGAGGACCAGTCACCTGACTCTGTATAAAGCAGCTTCCAACGCTCCTGTTCCCAGGGTTGCTGTATTTCAAAAACCAGGACATCAATTCCGCCTTTTAAATCCCTGTTTTATCCAGGAAAATATGGGTGTATGGCAGCCGGACTGTTCCTGTTTCACTGAGAGGGAACTAAGGCTGAGAGAGAGTGAGGAACAAGACCCAAACAACAAGAGCAAGTTGGTGAAGTCTGGCCTAGAAGCCCTGTCTCTAGCTATAGAATTCTGTGTAAGGAGGGACCAATGCTATCACTGTGATTATCTGGCAATGCTAAATTTTATTTTCCACATGACAGCAAACCTGGGTTTGCCATTGGAATTCCATTTCAATGATAACACATGTTCCTTTCAATTGCAACGTTAACTTTTAAAAGTATACATAAAACAACTTAGGGCCACACTTAAAAAATGTGTGAAGTGGTCCTAAGCAAGCCATGCATTTCCAGAAAGATCAAGCCACTCTTTGGTATGTTTAGGTAAAGGTAAAGGGACCCCTGACCATTAGGTCCAGTCGTGACCGACTCTGGGGTTGTGCGCTCATCTCGCTCTATAGACCGAGGGAGCCGCCGTTTGTCTGCAGGCAGCTTCCGGGTCACGTGGCCAGCATGACTAAGTCGCTTCTGGTGAACCAGAGCAGCACATGGAAACGCTGTTTACCTTCCCGCCGGAGCGGTCCCTATTTATCTACTTGCACTTTGACGTGCTTTCGAACTGCTAGGTTGGCAGGAGCAGGGACCGAGCAACGGGAGCTCACCCCGTCGCGGGGATTCGAACCGCCGACCTTCCGATCGGCAAGTCCTAGGCTCTGTGGTTTAACCCACAGCACCACTCACGTCCCTTCTTGGTATGTTTAGATGAAGGCTATTTGCATTACTACCCCACTCGCTATAAATGCAGGCATGTTTATTCTTGTCATGAGTATCTAGGTGGCAGAGTTTTACATATCTCTCTTTTACAAAAATTGAATCAATTATCTTGCAGAAAATTAGTGCCATGAGAAGAGGGCAGTGTGTGTGTGTGTGCGCGCGCGCGCCTGAACTGTGCCTTTCTTTGCTTCAAGAACATCCACCCATAGACTCTTTGTGGCTCTTCACTTCTTGGCCACCTCCCTGTATTCAAAATGAATACTTCACCAACCTATGTAATGGGGTCTGGCTTATTTTTAGCCTAGAAAAGAAGAGGTGAGAAGAAAGCATCTGTCTGGAGGTCGGAACTCATTGAAAGTTGCATTTCTGGTTTGATTTCATAACACTGAATTCAGGCACCCCCCTCACTCCTTAGGGAGGTGTCTCTTCTTAGAGCTACTGCACTCCGTGAAGTGAATGAGTTCAAACCTGTATTGTAGCGTGACTCCTGCAAGTTGCCTAACCAGAGTTCTACTGCTCTCCATAATGTGCTTGGATTAGTTAAATCTCCCCTACATTTCAACAGTGTTGTCTTTACTATGTGCAACAAAGAGAGCAGGGCTTGTTTGCAATATTCTGAGTGGCATTTCACATGCTAAATGGGTATATGGTATCTATGACATCAACAGATAGGCTTGTTCCTCACTGCTGATGGTTTTGAAACAATTAGCTTTCCTGGATAACAATAAGGCAATAAAGGCCATCAGCAGCCACTAGACATCATGGTTATGTTCTATCTTCACTTTCAGGGACATTGTAGTTTTGAATACCATTTTCCTGGGAATCACAAGTGGGGAAAATGCAATCACATTCAGATATTGATTTTAGGCTTCCCATGGAGATCTGGTTGACCACTGTGAGAACAGGATGCTGGACTAGATGGGCCATTGGCCTCATCCAGGATGTGAGGGCAATTTGGCTGCGACATCTGTCACCCCATTGATCGCCAGGGTTGGTTCGGCTGATCTGGCTGGCTAGGCGGGTGTCCCCTTCCTCCCTCACCGCTCCATGTGCGTCCCTCCCAAAGCTGCATGCTCGGTGGAAGAGGACGACCATTGGTGCTGCTCCTATGGAATCCTTACAACACATGTTTCCACTTTTTAGAATATCTCGGAACTCTTCTTTGTCCCAGGAGACAGTTTCCTAATGTGCTCACATTGTGATTCTCTAAAGCGTTTTAACAATTCTGAAATCAGTTGGGTAACTTTTCTTCCTTACATCTCCTCAGCCAAATAGGTTTGTCTGTGCATTTAATGTCAGCCCGGCATGAAGAAATGAAATTGACTAAGCTTTCCCTGTTTCTAGATCAGATCAGTGCCAACTTAATTATTGCATGTCAGCCTGTGCTGTTTGAGGCACAGCACCACTGGCAAAAGGTGACAACCCCCCTCCAAAAAATTAAATTTAAAAAATGCTTTCTAGCATCACTGCCAATATTTTGCACCTGTTGTTTTTTGTGACTATCAGTACCCTAGCCTTCAGTTTCTTTGCAATACTATGGCAGAAAGAGAAGAGAGGGAGGCTTGATGGGATACAGATGAGGTTGACAGAGAAGCTACCGTATTTTTTGCCCTATAGGACGCACTTTTCCCCCCTCCAAAAATGAAGGGGAAATGTGTGTGCGACCTATGGGGCGAATGCAGGCTTTCGCTGAAGCCTGGAGAGCGAGAGGGGTCGGCGTGCACCGACCCCTCTCGCTCTCCAGGCTTCAGGAAGCTATCCACAAGCCTTGGGAGTCCGTGGGAGTTCCCGCCGGGCTCCCATGGCTTGCAGAGAGCTGCCTGCATCCCGAAGCCTGGGCGCACTGAGCAGTCGTGCCCGGGCTTCGGGTAGCTCTCCGCAAGCCGCGGGAGGGCTCCCACGGCTTGCGGAGAGCAGCCTGTTCTGGGGGCTGGGGAAGCTCGGGCTTCCCCCGACCCAGCCCCGCGCCTGGGG